GTTTGTTGGTGGCTCCTCAGATTGAAGAAGTCCTCTGGATGAAGGACGAAACGTCTCAGCAAAACAAGAAACCGTCCAGATGACCTGAATGAACATTGTTCCATCCATCCATCATTTTCAAGTCAGGTCTTGGGGGCAGCAGCTTGAGCAGGAGGTCCAGACCACAGCCACCTCTTCCAGTTCTTCTGGGAGGACTCCAAGGTGTTCACAGGCCAACAGAGACATAGTCTCTCCAGCGTGTTTGGCAAGTCTGGGTGAGAGTGCCAAGGCCCCCACCTTCGGTCACTGCCCTTGGATACATGCACCTGACTCGTATGGCCCCTGCTGCAGGTGGTGGGCCCACAGGAAGGCAAACCCATGCCGCTCGTTCCAGCTGAGCTCGATAGTTTGACCGTGGGTAGAGACCCTATCACCAGGCACTCGCCGACGAGCCCCTCTCTCAGGGCTGGCTCCAGGGTGGGGCCCCAGTAACCCACATCGAGGCAAGGGACATGGAGTTCCTCATTTTCTTTTTCAATCTTGGTGTTATTTTTGATCAGGACATGTCTTTTATCCCCCACATTAAAAACGTTACTAGAACCACCTTCTTCCACCTGCGTAATGTCACTAAAATTAGAAACATCTAAAAATGATGCAGAAAAACTGGTTCATGCATTTGTCACGTCTAGACTGGACTATTGCAATGGTTTATTATCTGGGTGTCCAAATACTTCTTTAAAACGTCTTCAGTTGATCCAAAATGCTGCTGCCAGAGTCTTAACTAACTATAAGAGTTATCAAAAAGGAAAGTCTTTAGCCAAGTTTTAAAACTGGATAATGTGTCAGCCTCACGGACAGAGATTGGAAGTTGGTGGAAGTTGGTTCCACAAGAGAGGAGCCTGATAACTAAAAGATCTGCATCCCATTCTGTTTTTGAAAACTCTAGGAACCACAAGTAAACCTGCAGCCTCTGGAGTATGACTGCTGCACTGACCACCAAGCAACGACAGCCCCTGGATGTTCTGCACGAGTTCATTTATACTGCGAGGTGTGTTAGCGCTCAGAGTACGTGTTGGAAATGACACAGCTTTTATCAAACCTCAGCTCAATACTGGTAAAATGGAGTAAGTAAA